GTGTGTGTGTGTGTGTGTGTGTGTGTGTGTGTGTGTGTGTGTGTGTGTGTGTGTGTGTGTGTGTGTGTGTGTGTGTGTGTACATGTACATGTACATATACATGTGTATGTATATATATACATATGTAAGATACACCCAACGCACTCACCGTTGGACTCCAGTTTCGTCGCAGCTATGCCTGTCCTTATACTTCTTATCGCCTTTCTTTTTAGAAGACTTTGATTTCTTCGAAAACTTGCCATCATTCCCTCGTTTCTGGTGTGTACCGGACTTGTCTGTAGTGGAAAGGTCTACCTCCTCCTCCCCTCCGGCGCCCTTGGTGCGGTTTAGCGTGCTATTTATATCTCTCCTGCTTAATTGACCACTACCCTCCCCACCGTTGCTGCAGTTGCTGCCGCTGCTGCTGCCAGCACTGCTGCCTGAATCCTTGTGCTTTTGTTTGTTCCGTCTGCGCATATGTGGACCCCCTATTTCCCCACCGCCTTCTTTGGAGCTCACTTTCCTTGCGCTGACCTTATCTTCGTCGTCATGCCTGGCCGTGTCCCTCTCCTTATGCCGCTTCTTCTTGCCCGTACCATCATCCTTTGTACCGTTATTTACCGCTTTATTTTTACTACTATTTTCGCTATCACCAATATCGCCGTTCCGTTTGTTTGTACTCTCTCCGATTCTCTCCCTCTCTCTGGATCTAGATCTGGATCTGGATCTGGACCTGGATCTGGATCTGGATTTACCCCGATCCTTAGATCTCTTCCCTTTCCTCCTATCCCGGCCGGGATCTCTAAAGCCTAAACCGCCCTTCTCTCCCGACCTCCTGCTGTGACCCTCATTCTTAATAGCGTCTCCCTTATACCTACCTTCTCTATGCCTCCCTCCCTCCTTGTCCCTCTCGCTCTCTCCACTGGGCCCCTCCATAGATCCCCCCAGTCCACAGCTTTCGCCCAGCAAACTCTGCACCAGACGTTGCACTACCGGTCCACAACCCAGCCGATACAACCCCAACTCCATCGCCTGAGTGTGCGCATCACTGGCACACAGCCTATCCCCGGGACAAATCGGCCCAGGCGGCGGAGCCCCAACATCTGCACCTGCACCTGAAGTACTGCCACTGCCCTCCGTCTGCTGCCGTGTCGAGGGTCTCCTGCGCTGGCGCGTCTCCTCAAACTGGGCGAAGAGTTCTGTTGTGGTGCCGGGTGTGCCTGTGACTGTCTTGGCTGTGGTGAGAGAGGGTGTGGGTGCGCGAGAGTGCGGGCGGGTATGGGCCTTCTTGCCCCTGCCCCCTTTCTTCCCGGCCACGCGGTGGGACACCGGGGGTGCACTTAGGGCCCGGTTATAAGGACCGGTTGACCCGTTTTTACTGACCAGACCGGATGAATCGGTTCTATTTATAGAACCGGAGCCACCGTTCGCATGTATGGCAGTGGTACGGGCTTGGAGAGCGGTGCCGAATGAAAGATTGTCATCACCTCCTTCTGTGGTGGAGAAGGTATAGGCAATGATGATATCAATCTCAAAACGATGAAAGGTAGTAGAACTACATATACAAACTAGAAACTTCATATAAACACAACTGTCGGAGACAGTTGTGCTTCAGACAGCACAGAATAGAATCATTATACCACGAACAATAGTGAACTGGCCTTTGGACTGCAACAGCCTTGGCTATTCATCTAAACCAGTATTGTAAACATATGAGATGGTTCGTAGATATATATATATATGTGTGTGTGTGTGTGTGTGTGTGTGTGTATATATGTATATATATATATATATATATATGTGTGTGTGTGTGTGTGTGTGT